AATCCCACTTGCCTTTCATTCATTTGCAAAACCACACTGACTACTGTGTGGTAGAACCCTGCACAGATCCCACCACACGCAGCCTGTGAGCAGGAGCTGATTTTCCCCTGGATAATTAACGAGAGCCTTAAGTAGCTCGGGGAGGGAGGAGGAGAAGAACAAGGTGAGGAGATGACAGTTCATGGGGTGTCAGGAAGGAACTCACCAATGATGTGCGCCGTGACGGACTGAAGGGCAGGTATGAACACGCGGTAGAACAAGAAGAGACTGAGCTGGGGGAAGAGGAAGGTTCGGTGCTGCTGGGTCAGGTTTTGGGCTGCTGTAACTGCACCCTCTGCATGTAAAACCACCCCAAATCTACAACCGAGCACACTCCTTTTAACATTCCCGGGCCAATTCCTCACTCTCTGCCACAGCCTCATGGGAAAATGAAGCTGGTGATTTACGAGGATCGGCCTCATGGGAAGGTCAGAGCTGAGGAATCAATATTCAATTCAGTGAAGCAGTATCCCAGACTGCAACGGAGCAGAGTTGGGTATTTGGGTGGAGAGCGGTCTCAAAGCAGCTTGGGTTTAACATGTGGGCTTTCCCAAGCAGGTCTATATCCCAGTTCCTTTAAAACACAACGGTGAGACTGGGAATATGGCAGCTGGCACAGATCCCTGCAGCCCAGCTGATGGCTCACCACCAAAGGCGCACGAGGGTTGGTTTCCACAGGGGGGTTTTAACACAGGAAAGAACACAATTCCCACTTACCCAGAACACGCCTCCGTTCCAGGCACAACACTGAAATATCCGGCTCACTATCCGGGGTTCACTGCAAAGCAACGGGAGAGAGACGCATCAAGGACCTTTAGTAATTACCTCCATCCATGCCGGAATGGAAGAGAAGCAAAGCTTTCCTCCCAAGTTTTAAGCATTTATGGGAGAGCTCAGGGTTGGTTTGCCTCAAGCTCTCAGTGCAATAAAACTGGAGGGGAGTTTGGGGGCATTTTGTCCTCGGAAAAGGCTGGGTTTGACTTCTCTCTCCTCACGGCATACCTATGGACATGCCAAGAGCACAGCCGGGATTTAATCCTGGGGTTGCCAGCTTTAGTGGATGCAACTGGTAGAGATGGCTGTGGAAAAAAGAACCTTGATCCACCCACTGGGAGAAGAGAATGACCCGTCCTCAGGCCCCACACTCACCTCTCTTGCTTCTTCTCTTCCAAGTGAAACCTCCGCTGGGCCAGCGCGCTGTTGGCTCTCCTCCGCCTCTGCTCTTCCCTTTTCTGCTGGATGCGGGCATCCAGCTTCGAGATGGTGCAGATGCCCCAGATGGAGTCCTTAATTCCCTATGGATATGAGAAGAGGCTGTGACACTCCTTCCCACCGCCTGGGTATGGAAGGGGATGAGTCTTGCTGCCCGGAGCGGAGGAGGCAGCACCAGGCTCAGGCAGAGCCAGGGTTTGGAGTGCTGCCTGTTCTCCATAGCCTGGTGACCTAAATCACTGCCTGTTCCAGCAGCAGCCTCTGTTTTTTCACTTGAAGGTGTGATTTCTCATCCAAAATCCACTATTTATAACCCAGAGAGTCCCATCTCTCACAGCCCATTTCTTCTGCCTGGCAGAAAGCCCTTCACCTCCCGCCAGCCACCACTGGCCAATAAGATGGAATTACACCAAACATTCAGGATGTGCAAAGCCCTCGTGGCCTGACCATACATCTGAGTGTGATGCTTGTGGCTTTACAGATAAAAGCATCCCAGAAACAGCCTTGGAGCCACATCCGTGCAAACCTGTTAACAGGGAAGTGCCCAGAAGCCTCTGCCTCAAGTCCTGCTTTAAAAGACTTCTAGCAACGCCTCTCTAGCAGTTATTTCCACCTCTGGATGATTTGGGACACATATCAAACATTTCATTTCAAAATGAAGCATGAGAGCATCATGAAATGACCGAGGCCACTGGTCCATGAGAAGCTCCCCATGACCTGGCCTCAGTGCACTTGAGCCCAGAACCCCCCTGCGTGCTGGGCTGCACCCCTAGAGTGTGAGCAGCAGGTCAGGGAGGGGATCCTGCCCCTCTGCTGTGCTCTGGGGAGACCCCTCCCTGCAGTCCTGATTCAGCTCTGGGGAACAGCACAAGAGGGACGTGGAGCTGCTGGAGCGAGCCCAGAGGAGGCCCCGGAGCTGCTGCGAGGGCCGGAGCAGCTGCTCTGGAGCCAGGCTGAGAGAGCTGGGCTGGGGCAGCTGGAGAAGAGAAGGCTCCTGAAGGGGACACCTTAGAGCAGCTCCAGTGCCTAAAGGGGCTCCAGGAGACCTGGAGAAGGGCTTTGGGCAAGGGATGGAGGGACAGGACAAGGGGAATGGCTTTAACCTGCCAGAGGGGAGATGGAGATGAGCTCTTGGGCAGAAGCTCTTCCCTGGGAGGGTGCTGAGGCGCTGGCACAGGGTGCCCAGAGAAGCTGTGGCTGCCCCATCCCTGGCAGTGTTCAAGGCCAGGTTGGACACAGGGGCTTGGAGCAACCTGCTCTAGTGGAAGGTGTCCCTGCCTGGGGCAGGGGTTGGAGCTGGAGGAGATTTAAGGTCCCTTGCAGCCCAAACCATTCCATGATTCTACAACCCAAATCTTCCTGCTTAAGGCCATGGCCAAGGAACACCAGTTTCTGAACACAAGTAATTTCTTAGCATCCCATCACCAATGTTTTTGAGCCTGTGGTTATGCCTGGATGATACCAGATGGTGTGGGAGCACTGAGGTCATATGAAGCCTGACCACCATGACCCTTTGCAACAGACACACCATAGCCAGCTTGGGAAAACACTCGGGAAGCAATGCATCCCACACAGCAGCAGAAAGCTTGCTGACAGGTACCTCTGCTTGACTAAACTGATGTCTTTAGATTAAAACACACCCGGAGCCCCTTTTCCTTCCAATTCTTTAATCCACTTGTGACGACATGGGAAGGAGGGTGCTCCCCAAGGAAAACCCACTGCCACAGAAGGGAATGGGACCAGTCCCCACGACAGAGGAGCTGCAGTGCATGGACTCACCCTGACGAGGTCATGCAGGAAGGTTTTCACGCTGTCTGCCATCTCGCCTCCAGCATCACCTCCAGTTCCAAAACTATCAACTACAGGGAGAGGGGAAAAGCCGAACCCAAACCTCTCTCATCCTGGAGGGATGGGAAACGGATGGAGCCTGTGGGGAGAGAAAACACAAAGGATCATGGCAGGCATTAACCACACAGTGGGATTCCAAGCTAATCCAACCAACAGGCTTCCAGCCCCCCCTGCCCCAAACACACAGCCAGAGAAAGGATCCATCCTGTCTGCCTCATGGTATCTCGTGTTAAAAACCTGAGGGTTTCAGGAACAGCACAGCCTGTAGTTGTATGCTAACACCACACTGCACCACTCATTTTGGGAAGAGAAAAGCCAGCAGAGCCAGCCCAAGCAGGGAAGTGTGAAAACATCTGTGCTAAATCCAGCGTTCATTTAACACCATCCAGCTCCACACCTCCTCTGACAGGGAAGAAACTCCAGGGCTGCAATTAGGAGCCTGACAAAACCAAGGCTGCTCTTTGAGCTGTCCCATCAGCTTTCGCCCAAAGCAGTAATGACTCCCAACAGCTCTTTGCCAAAAAGCTTGGGCTGAGTCTTCTGCTTCTTGTGAAGCGCTGCAGAAATACAGTGTCTGAGTCAAGGAAAACAAAAAATAAATCACCAACTAATAAAACACACGGAGCTTTTCCAATGGGATTCAAACTGATCGCTTTTCCTAGGCAGGAGCTACCACAGCTCTGGAGCACGCTGGTATCACAAGCCCCAACATGCCACTGTTGCTGTTGCTTTATAATGTGCAGCACAGGGGCATCAATTATTAAAATAATCATTAAAAAAAAAAGGCTTTTATTTGGGTTATTCGAAGATAAAACCTGCCAGGGTTTGAACCCCGCTCCTGTGAAACACAAATGCCAGTTGGGATGAAGCTGCGGAAGCAGAACCAGCCTCCAGCGTTATTACCATCAGGTTAATCACAGGCACTGTCACCCCAAAACGAAGCTTTTGGAGACAGAAACACTGACTTGGGAGGGGGAATCTTTTTGCTTTAGCAAGTGTCCATGCTCCAGGTCCCACCGGCGGAGCCCCAGCAGAAACAAAAGGCAGAAGAGAGCGTTTTCTTTGTTCCCGGCGCTGCACCTCCCCGTGCCTTGGGCTTGGAAACCTCTACCTTAAACACAGTGAGACCCTGCTCCTTCAGGAAGCTCTTCCTGACGGGTAACTCCAGGGCTGGGGATCACCGTGCAAAGGGGGGGCTCCTCACAGCACCCAGTAACGCGGGGGCAGGGGCATTGTCTCCCCCACTGGCCATCTGGGGGTCAAAGTTACCTCAGAGCTGCCCCTGGGGGGTGACCCCTATAACTTAAGTGGTGGGAGCTCGATTTCACCTCAGGTTGTTCTCACTATAACCTCAGGAACGGGGAGGGGGGGAACGAGACATACACAACACACAACAACGTGCGTCTGAAGCCCACAGTTACCTCAAGGCTGCCCCCGGAGCCCAAAATCACCTGAGTGTCCCGCATGGACCCCTCCGGACATGGAATCACCTCAGGGTTGCCCCCCTCCCC